AAAATTTAGTTTTACATGCTCTGACATTTACAAGAATATCCTTTTGAGTCACTTCTTCAAGTAATAATGAATCCGCCACACCGTCCCTGTCACCATAACCATTGGTTTCAGAGTCCACATCACTATTTATTTTGTCAGCCAACTTTGGACATCCTCATTGATCTATTGCCCCATTTTCCCTTATTAGGGAATTAACTATATAGACTAAATAATATGAAAACACTTTACACTGTAACAGTTGCAGGGGTGCACATTCTTGTTTCTCCAAATTCTGCGTTGGAATACTTTGAGGATCAAACTGGGATGGTGAGATATCTTGTTGGTGTTCTGAAAGATTCAACCTGTTAGGCAATTCATTATGGTGATTAGGTCATCACTTGGTTCATTGTGAGAAACCATTTATTTAACCTGTTTTAGAAAATAATTAGTCACTCAGAGTTTGTCATGCAGGCTGAATGTGAAAATAGTCTCCTACACCATCTCCTGCATTTGCTTCTGATAGAAAATAGACAGTCCAGAAAATGATAAATGACCCGCACTTGTATAGCACCTCTCAGAGTAAGGACTCCAAAGCGCTTTACACTACAGTGTATCATTCATCCATTCACACACACGTTCACACATTGGTGATGATGAGCTATGATGTAGCCACAGCTGCCCTGGGGCGCACTGACCGAGGCGAGGGTGCCGAGCACAGGCGCCACCGGTCCCTCTGACCACCACCAGCAGGCAAGGTGGGTTAAGTGTCTTGCCCAAGGACACAACAGCAGAATTCTCTGTCAAGAGCCGGGATTGAACCTACAACCTTCCGATTACTGGACAACCCGCTCAACCTGTTGAGCTACTGCTGCCCAAGAAGAGAAAAAAAAATAAGAAAAAGAAAAGCCTGACAGATCTACGTCACACGGTCAGCATGGACTTTCCTATCTTGGCTCGTGATGGGGAAGGCTGTTTTTTAAGATACAGCAGAGAATGCCTCGACTAGTAGAAACTGTTAGCATTAGCTACATTACCACACGGCAGAACTCCTCCAGGTCTGTGTTTTTGTGGAGATAAAACATCAACATTGCAAAGCAAACAGTCAGTGGTAGAGTTGCGTTACTATAGGCCAATCAGAGGTTAGATGTCCAAATAATGGAAAACAAGACTTCAAATCCTGTTGTCTGAAGCTACTTTCTCCTCCAGCTTAATTCTGTGCCCTCAAAAAAATTGAAAAAGGCACAACTTACATGACATAATTCCTACTAGTTCATTGCAAATGCAGTAAAAGAGTAAAGTTAACTTTTAAAGGTTTGGTTCACTCATTTAATCAATACACTTGCAATGGTCTCTAGTAGGAATGAATGCCTTGAAACTCATACTCTGTGGTAAAAAAGCTCCAGTGCGCCTCTTCGAGGAACTAGAAGTGACCCACATCAGAGATCTTCAGACGACATGATTTGGAATCTTATTCCCTGATATTTGGACATCTGGCCTCTAATTGTATCCTAGAGTTTCACCGTCTATTTTCTATCAGAAGCTAATGCAGGAGATGTGAGTGATCGATTATAATCAGAAATAATAATAAAATAAAAAAAGATCAGTGATCCGCACCATTAATAGGAAGTAACATGTCTTAAATGTATATTTATTCAACAATTCTTCAATTATTCAAAAGTCACTGTTCCTCTCTGGAAAACATCAGCATTCCAGTTTGACAGAAAAAAAATAGGATTTTCTAAACTGTTCAATACTCAGACGTTTGTCTGCGTGTAATGAATCCATTAGATCTGAGTGGTGGATCCAACCAGAGCGAGAGCACTTAAAAATCAGACTCAACAAAGATGAAAACCACTGAACAACAGCATCTACCTTTGTCTGATGATGACAGACTTTCATCATCATAACAATAGCTCTACGGTTTAATTACTTTGTGTCATTCACACATTTATCATCATTGTTGACTCACTAATGGCAGTGTAGCGCTTCAGAAAGTGTCGGGGAGGTAAATAGACTTTTGATTTCCATAAGGAATTTCACTTGGAGCTATCAAAGATTTACTTTCAGGTCCCTGCTGGTTTTGATTAGGACCTTGGGCCTGAATCCGGATTAATTGATTGATTTAGCGCTTTAAAATGTTTGAGTCTCTTATGGTGTTTGCAGTATTTCCTCTCATACAGGACTGTCACTCCTTTCACTAGGTGTGTGTATCGGTCAGCATTTGTGTGTCTGAGAGCACCAAGCACATCAGTGAGTCATTCAGCTCTTTCAGAAAGAAACAGAACATACTGTGTTGGCTGGTTAGACAGAAATAACCTCTAGTCGGAAGCCAGTGTGGCTGTAAAATATGCTTATTTTGGGGCTTGTTCCCTGTCTGGTTTTCCCAATTACAGATGCGGACACTTAACCACTGAAGTTCCCTTTCATGCTGTTTATCTGTTATTCCTTCATTTCTGCCACAATTTCAGATTATTGTAACAAAAAAATATTGATATGTCAAAAAATTAGATTGTCAGACAGTAACTGAATTGACATCCTTCAAAAGTTTTTCCGTAAAGTTTCTACTTTTACTTATGAGGGTCTTAAATTACTGACAGGGTCTGTTAACTCATAGATTCAATCAATGAGTCATGCCTTAATTATCTGTTCATTTTAGTTCATTTGCTCTTATATGCTAATCACTTCTTCCTCACAGCACACACACACACACACACACACACACACACACACACACACACACACACACACACACACACACACACACACACACACACACACACGCACGCACACACACACACACACACACACACACACACACACACACACGTCATTTCCAGCTCATCATGGTGAAGATACATACTCATCAGAAGCTGCTTCAATGCCAAAGGAATCCTTTCTGCTGCTTCTCACTCTAACCCATCCTCATACAGACATCAGTATCACCACCATCTTTCCTTTTATTTTAGCTTAGGGTGTCTCATTTTATCACATCATGGAAAATCCTCTCCCTCCTCTTCTTCCTCAGTGTTCATCTCAATGTCTCTGTTACTCTGTGTTTGAATTTCGGTCCTCACACTGGTGCACAATCCTCTTCTTCCTCTCGCTCTTCCCTGTAAGACTTAATCAAACCTGACAGTCTTTAGCGTTTTCTGCACCAGTGCCTTAGCTGTAACTGTAGCACTAACAGCTCTACAAATCATTCAGAGTACTCGGTTTAACTTTCACGGCTCAACTTGGAGGGAGTTATGATCAAAAGACTACTGATGAATCTGGACAGTTTGTTTTATCAGAAATTCAATAAAATTTTTCATGAGATCGGAAGAAGCTTTATCCAACAATTATGGGAAGTGAAGACAAAACGGCAAAGTGGAGACGATCTTTAAGTGTTGGGTGTAGCCAACGTTTACTAGGGAAACCAGAATCAGCTCTGAGGTGGTGGTTTTATTAATCACAGAAACTACAGTTTCTGATTTAAACTCTGTTCTTAAAACGGTTGAAGATTTTCAATTTGTTGTAAAATCCATTCATGCCTACTTGGGGCCTTAAAGTTAAATCAGGCTCTTAATCAAAGGCCAAGGTTCACTGAAAAAGAAAATTTTTACTTGTTATTTTTGTTTAACATGCAGGTTCTGCATTAGCCATTGATAGAAAATAGACGGTGAAATGCACAAATCAGAAAAGCAAGTGACATTTGCACGTCAGATCAGAAATTAGAATTTGGGGACTCTCCCATCTTGGCTCGCAATGGGGAAGGCTGTTGTTGATTTAGCGACCAGGAGAGAGCAGAGCATGTCTCAGTTAGTAGGAACTAACACTAGCTAGCATTGAATACTCCACAACATGGCAAAACTCCTCCAGGCTTGAGCTATTTGTGGGGATAAATTATCAATGCTGCAAAACAAATGGAGTAGGTGGTATAGTCACGTTGCTGTTGGCCAATCAGAGGCAAGATGTCTGAATATGAAGAAATCTAAATCCTGCCGTGTTCTGCTTCCCTTTCCTCTGGCTATTGCCTACTTTCTGAAAAAGCAGTGTGAGCACATTTTCCCCCACAGAGATTATTTCACAAAGTATTCATACTGGAATCAACTGCAACTGTCTTGAGTAAACAAGTGAACTTAGTCTTTAAAAATAAGGTTTTATGATTAGCACAGTTCATGAGTGAAACCAGTGCAACAGCAAACCAAAGAGACAAAGATTCATACAAGTTTCAGTTTTAAATATAAAATCTAAAATTATCTCTTGCACAGGCTTCAGAGTTGTGCAGTGGTTAGCGCTGTTGCCTTGCAGCAAGAAGGTCCTGGCTTCACACCCCAGCCTGGGGTCTTTCTGCAAAGAGATTACATGTTCTCCCTGTGCACGCGTGGGTTCTCTCCGGGTACGTCGGCTTCCTCCCACAGTTCAAAAACACGACTGTCAGGTTAATTGGTCTGTCTAAATTGTCCTTCGGTGTGTGTCGCTGGTTGTTTGTCCTGTGTGTGTCTGTGTTGCCCTGCGATTGAGAGCACTGTCATGATAAAAGTTCCAATTATTGAGGACTTGTCAGTGTTTTTGTCTAAGGCGTGTATATTTGGGGCATTAGAAGTCTTATTTTTCCTCTAGATTAAAGCCATAATGTCATAGTAATAGTAATAGTATATTAATCGGTTACTTTTTACTTAGAATCACAACAATATGACTTTTGCTCCTTAAGAAGAAAATGTATTTTGAAAACAAAGTCTGGACTGATTACTTATTTTTGTAATCTGAGTACATAATCCCGATTTATGTAATTCACCTCTCCTTGTCAGCCGTATGGGCTAATCACCTCTATTAAAGCCAGTCGGTCACTTTTAATGGTCCAGGTTTTTAGGAGCCCGTCGAGTGCTGATCAACACTTGAGTAGGGTGTAATGGACATGGATCTATATGATGTCATGTAACACGGTTTGTTTCAGGTAAATGCTGAATGTTTTCTTTGCTCTGACCTTTAAGTAACTGATTCTTTGTGTAATTTTGTTCTCTCGTCGTGTCTCTCCACAGCTCTCACCGACTGACAAGAGTTTGGAGTTTGACAGAGACTTTCGCATCAGGCACTATGCAGGCGATGTGGCGTAAGTATCCGAGTTTGATTTATTCTGGAAAAGCTTTTACTGATGATTCATCCTCTTTTCCACACTTTTACATAATCATGCCTCAGAGCTGCAGAGACGAACCACAGTGGTGTACTTTCAGAACTGACCGAGGTCTCTTAAGAAACACCACTTGTACAGAGTTTTTAATTAGAATTTAACCGCATGTTCTCTTTATAAACCGGTTTGATAGAAACATTAAGTTCTCTGAAATGTGTAATATATTTTTTGTTTTTCTTATTTATTTTTGCAGACGTGAGATCAATATAATTTCTGTCAGCAAAGATAACTGTGTGTGTTTTACTTTAGTCTGCAGGAACACACTCTCTTCTTGTTTATGAACGGTAATTTTATGTGAAACTGAACTAGAATGTTATTATTTAGATTTTGTTAACCGAGTTTGTAGAAAGATTTTAGAGCCTTCTAGGCTTCTACAGCCCCTCAAAGTGCTTCACAACATAATCAGTCGTTCATCCATTCACATGCTGGTGGGGATGAGCTACAATTTAGCCACAGCTGCACTGGGACGCACTGACAAGGACACAACAGCAGCATTCTCTTCTGGGAGATGGTATCGATCCTACAACCCTTGGGTTACTGGACAACTCGCTCTACCTGCTGAGCTACTTCTGTCATTTAATGCAGGAATCATGACTCTGAGCTTTCGTGATTCAGAAAACTCCTGATGTTGACTCTTGTTCAACCCCTATTGTGGTCGGACGTTCTTTTTTTTTCTCCAGATATGTTATCATTGTTTCTTCTGAGGCTCCACCATGATAAACACATTACTGAATGCTAACCTAACACATGGAATAAAGCGTGACTTTGTGAGACTTTAGGACAGGAGAGGCTGACGTTATGAACTTGGTATCCTGCTCACAAGGAGTGGAGGGCGCAGGGACATCATTAACCCTGTAAAGGGTCATTTTAGCACTGACTCAAGATATACATGTAAGGTACTGACGCAAGTAAATTATTTTTAAAATATGAAAAAGTTGCATAGTATGCCTTAAAATTTTGGGATGTTTGATATTATTGGTCTACCATTAATATGGGCCGATATCGGCTATTGGTGCAACGGATCAAAAAACTCATGGTTCGGATCGAATCAGTTTTCAGTCCGAATAGGAGTTTTCATTGGCTCCACAAAACGAAAATAAGACAAATGGCTTTGTTCTCTCCTTTTTTTTGTAGAACACTTCATGCAATATTTTCATGCTCAATTTGTAACTTTCTGTAAAAATAAGACTTATAGAGATCCGATAGCAGATTAAATAATAAAACAGCTTATCGATGGGGGCTCACTCCCTGCGTGTCCTGGTTTCACCTCATAACCTCACTTTTGTGAAGTGCTGTTTATTTTTCTTTCCTCTTTTACAGATTTGTCCACACCAATATTCAGGTCCCACCACGTTAATGTAATAATTGTCCCAGGCATTTTGCATGTGCCTTTCACAACGATAGGATGCACGTGTGAGTGGCGCTGCACCATCAGACAGGAGGCACGCACGTGTTTATTTTTGCCTGCATTGTCGTGTTTTACAGGGAAACCAACTTGCTCCCATAAACAGTTTAAACAATGCAGGTGGTTTTTCAAGCTCCTCTCCTCCTCCTCCTCCATGACCACCGCTGTGTTTTTCTCATTTGGATTGAACAGCGGGTGCCTCGGCCCTTCACGTGACCGATCTGCAAATCATGTGTGTTCCGAACCATAGAGAGATATCTGTGTGGATCATGGATCAATGATGATCCGTTACGCCCTAATGCATTACAATTTAATTTAAGTATCAGTTTTCAGTCTTTTAATGACACAACTTTAACATACTACACATATTATACATCAGACTCTTCAGCTACTTCTCCTCTTTTTCTCAAAATGTCAAAATAGGACAGATCTAAGGTAGTTTCTGTGATATATCTGTTTATTTGGCACAACTTGTGTAGTAGAAATCTGCCCTGTGTAGTGACGGTACGCTGGACTCACATCACATAGCTGTATCGCTAGACTGCTAACAAACGACTAAAACAAAAAGGAGAATCATCACTCAAGGCGTGTTTTAATTTTCTGAAGATCTTTATAAATGTTTTATCACCATAGCTGCAATTTACAGAAAAACTACATTACTCAGTAATACACACATCTTAGCATCACGGTGATGGAGAAAGAGACTCAGCTGCTGTTGGAGACAAACTAAATGTGTAACTTTTCCTAATACCAATGTAGATTGAAGTAGTTGTTATTTTGTGAAGAAAGTGTTTACAATTTAAGCATGCATGATGGGATAAATGTGATGTTGGTAACCTAGAATGTTTCAGTTTTGCAGTCTTTATGAAAGGGGGACAACATATATCGGTATCGGAAATTAACTCGGACGATATTTGTTAAATAGGAAATCTGAAAATGTGGACCAATCTAGATTTGTGTGAATTATAAATAACCACAGCAGCCAATATGATCTTTACCCAGAAAGCTCCTCTAGACTCTGAACTATAAACTAGCATTGACAGTTCTACACCACAGATCTGAATACTTAAATGACATCTTTGTTGTACGATGCACCCCCTCTTAAACCGCCATCACCACTTTCTAATCCCCAAAGCTCCTGGACATGATTCAAGTGATTAAATCACACGCGCTAAGTCCTCAGAAAGAGCTCTCATGGAAATGTGTTGAGCCCATTTGTAAAGGCTAAGTGTCTGCCACCTGGGGGAGAGCTCAGGCGGGGGTGCAGGACTTGATTGATCCCCGAGCCACACTTAGACCAGGCAGGAGGCTGAGAGCTCCACACATCTCACAGCGTAGATTATAACAGCTCTGATATTTATAGCAGCTCCATCTCTAACACAATACTTCATCTTTAAATGCACATTAACAAGAGGATCCGCTGTCAGAGAGCAGATGAATACGATTCTTTTTATCATGGAGACCTAAGGAAACTGTTTCTGTAGTTATGATGAAGCTGTTAAAGGAACAGGAAGCAGGACAGTGTGTACGAACATCAAAGTGTGTGTATGTGTGTTTACCTGCGTCTTTCTTTCACAGGTACTCCGTGGTGGGCTTTATTGATAAGAACAAAGACACGCTGTTCCAGGATTTTAAGAGACTCTTGTACAACAGGTGACACGCATTTTCAAACACCTCCCCTTCCTTCAAACATCTATTTTGTTTGTTAGAATCCTCCTTAAAGTTTCAACCATTAGAGGTCAAATAGTCTCTGCTCAGCTTTGCTCCGTAACAATAGAATAGAATAGAATACTATGTAAATCCGAAATTGCACAAGTATTGAACACATACGGAGTATAGCATTGATGGTATTGTGTACCAGGATAATGCCAGTACCAGTTAAACTGAGGAGTTATACACTCTTACTGCAGAGGGGATGAATGGCCTACGGTAGGCTCTGTTTTACACCTGGGATGTCTCAGTCTGCCACTGAAGGAGCTGTCCATCTAGTGCTTACCATGCAATATGGTGCTTTTCCTAAAATCAAATCTATTACATGAATTCATATATGTGATTCAACTGTTCGATCTTCATCTTATAATAATGAGGTGAACAAAAATAATTTAAAAACAAACTATTTTCTACATTTGTTTTAAAGTACTGTTTCCAGGGTAGCAGCAGGTCCTTAAAAAGTCTTAAACAGCCTGAAATTCAGTTTTATGAAGTTCTTGAATCCAGAGTCCAAAGCTCTTAAAAATACCACAGACCCAATAGACAAGATTTACTTCATTAGGACATCTATAAAGAAATTGCACATTTTTGATAGGTGTTTTTCATTTTTTCATGAGACTGGCATGAGTGGAACTTCCACCATTCAATTGAGCATGTGAATGGGGGAGGGCTATTTTCAGGAATGCACATGAGCCACTTTTACTAGTGGGTGCGTGAGCCATGGGGAAGTGCAGGTTTTGTGATTCTGCATTGTTTTCTGGAAAATAAATGCATTTTCATCCTCTGCAGTGCAGTTATCTTGATATTTGTGTTATTCTTTAGCACGCTCATTTCCAATAAAGGTTTGGACAGAACTATGGGTCACATAGCTTTATTGTTAAGATTTTAATTTTGATCCAAGTGGTCATCAAAATAGTCTTAAAGGTCTTAAAATGGTCTTCTTTAAACCAGCAGGTGCCCCGTGTTTAGTGTGTTTGTGTCTCAGTCTCGTAGAGGATTTATTTTGTTGTTTTTCCTGTCTTCTCAGTTCCAACCCAGTCCTGAAGGGGATGTGGCCTGAGGGTAAACTCCGCATCACTGAGGTCACCAAACGGCCGCTGACAGCAGCAACACTTTTCAAAAACTCCATGATCTTACTGGTGGAGAACCTTGCCAGCAAGGTGAGGAGTTGGGATTATTCAAACCACTTCATAAATAAATAACCCAAAGCAAGATGGTGGATAATCCGACTAAAGCCATGGGCATAATGCATTCTTGGAAAATAATTATAAAAGGGATGGCGAGATCTCAGTCAACAAATTATGTAATTGAGATAATCTGTGTTGGTTGGTCTGTTTATGTAACAGCTCATATTTTACTCTTGTTATTAATAACTGGTTTGACCTACATCTGTGTCTTAAGAGGAGGCAGAAATGTCCTTAAGACTGATTTGAACCTGTTGCTGATAATAAACAGCTCTTAAGAAAATGTTAGATAACAGAAGTTTACTTAGAAGCAGCAAATATTCGGGTACAACTTTAAACCACCTGTCTGGAACAGTTCAGGTCACCAAATAACCAAACCAAACTAACTTTAAAGACATCTCAGGTTTATCTGAGTCTTGTTTGTTTCCTGTTGCTGGGTTGTTCTCTGGAAGAGTTCTTTTTGCACCTAACTGGTGAATGTGTTCTGTTAGGTCGTGATTGTGCTCTGTTTGAATTTGTAGGAACCCTACTATGTGCGTTGCATCAAGCCCAATGATGTTAAGTCCCCTCTGCTGTTCGAGCACGAGCGCTGCCGCCATCAGGTGGAGTACCTCGGGCTGCTGGAGAATGTCAGAGTGCGTCGAGCCGGCTTCGCCTACAGGCAGACATATCCTCGCTTTCTACAGAGGTATGACACAAAACTATTATCAAAAAAGCTGCTTTATTTCTCCATTTAGTTGCGATTTACCCTCGTCTCATTGTAAATGTTGTTGCCAACACCTCCTGAAATTGTCTCACGCTTTTCACACACAGAAACTAAGTTGAGGCAAGTTCCTTGTGTTCACGGGGATTCTGTTTAGATTCACTTTTATTCAGTTTTAGAAACACAAGAGCAATGTTCTGAGACTCACAAGCAAAATGAGCATCCTCGCAAATGACTCACAACCTTTTGGAAAGTTGACTTTTGTGGCTCAATGAGATTCTGACTTTGAGGCTTATATTTCGGGTCCTGACCTCTTCACCTGACATGCAATCTCCTGCAGCTCATCATTTAGGACTCCGATATAGCCTGTCATTATTTTCCCGCAACCATAATATTTAGTGTTTTGGTTAAGAAGCCCCTTTAAATGCCCAGGTTTGATTGTAATTGCTGGAGAGATGCAGATGAAAACATTATGTGTTGATGAATGAGCCCAGCACAAGTAAATGACCTGCGTTAATAGCTCATGTTTTATTCATATAGGAGCTCAAACTCTCATCATTAAAAACATGTTTACATCCCAATTAGCACTAATTTGTTTGTGAGTGTGAGTGGCAATTAGGGATCTCTTAGATTAATTGTATATAGGGTTGTCACAGTGTGAAAATTTAACCTCACGGTTATTGTGACCAATATTATCACGGTTTTCGGTATTATCGCAGTATTTTTTTTAAATGTGTTACATTTTCAGACAACTAAATAAACCCTGTATATCAGGAAAATATTGTCCTCAGTTTGTGTCTAAATTTTGCCTAAAATTTGTTATTTTGTAATTATGTTGTTTATTTGTTAACATTTTTCCCCTTTAGTCTTTAAAATACCAATATTTGCCCATAACTTATTTTTTGTCTGTTTGTCATCATTTAAAAATATTAGATCAGATGATACTCAGTACTCAAGTAGCCTTCTAATCAGATACTTTTATACCTTTACTTGAGTAATAAACCCTGTATCAGCAAAACATTGTCCTCAGTTTGTGTCCTTCCAGTGAGTTTTGCAGATTTGGGAAAATGTCATCAGGCAGTAATCATTGTTAAATTCATAATTATTCTTTGAGAGAGACCAACTCTTATCTGCCCCTGGGAGCCCCGTAATGCATAGCATCATTTCAACATGGGGGTGTCCGCGACACGGTTTATATGCAGGTAGCGGTGCTGCGGCTGCTTCATATAGCGACTCGTGGCATTCTCCCTCAACCCAAATCCTCGGATCACACATTTTAGCTAAAACGCTAACGTTAACTTGCCTTGCGTTGACTGTAGAGTTGTGGGTGATGGTCACGCAGATGTGTCATGAGATTTGAAGCGTTGCTGCCTTTCACAGACACTTTTTCTGCACGTGCTGCAAACAGGATAGCCGTCTTCTATCAACTGTCCCTCGGCATTCTTCAAATATCCCAAAAATGTCCATACTTCCGACTTTGTCTTCTTTGAGGGATAATAAATGTCCTGAGCGCTGCCGTCTCCTCCTTTGGCCATTATTTCAGCTTTAGCTTCAAGAAAGTTTTTGTTGTAAACAACAAAGTGCGTATGTGCCGCCGGCAACTTCAGCAGATGATACGGTGGCTGGTAAGGGTCACTGCGCCTACACTGCAGCCACGGAAATCCACCGAGATAACATAGTTTTTTAAAAACAAGACGGTCATTATTATTGTCAACCTTTTGACCGGTTTACCGCTACACTGGTTACCGTGACAACCCCGCTCTAGAAAACAAATATTGCTAACAAAGACCACTTTAATACATGTTCATAATAGTCACTTCTCATATATGATCAAATATGGTCGTAGATGGGGATCAATGATAGTTAGAAAACAGCTAAAGGTGTCAAATATAAAATCAATTAAAGAGATGATGTTTAGCTTTTACCGTTAATCTCTAAGAAAATCCATCTATATGTTGTTTAAAATGAATTAAATGATGCCCATTTGTTGAAAAATATTGGAGGCTTCGTAACAAGTAACCATAAAAATCTGGTCTAAAACGCATGGGAGCGGGTCTAAATCTCTGAGCGACGCCATATTAGACGCCATGTTTCCTTCTACGGGAGCCCGTGAGGACAAAATACATTTACTGATTTGTTACAAACCTTTACAAAACTTTCACCATTCATAAATTATGTTTTACACATTTACCTCTTTACTTGTTGCCACTGATGAAAGGGAGTCTGATGTGTTTAGGATTTTGCTGGAGGTTGTGTTCCCAGGGATTTTTGACCCTAATGGCCATCTGTTGTTAAGGTTTTAAGCCTGATATATACTTCTCCGTCAGCTCTGCCAGGGAAAGACGCACACGCATTGACATAGACGTTTTGCCTTCGGACTTCTCCGTTTGCTGGGTAATGTTGCAAAGCATTTGCCCGTCAGAAACGGAGAGCGTAGCTCTTTTCTGGGGTATCCTGCTACCATTGGTCATGTATTCGGTCCACGATAGTGCACTTATTTTTGCATTTATACTGTGTTTTTGTATTCCACATACTTTTCAACACAGACACATTTGTCCCTCATTCTTCTCCACTTCTCTATATGCACACCACCTCTAAACCCATGTTTCCTATCATTTCCATCCACAAATAAAATGCTGGCTGCAGGTATATATACTCCTTCAGTCATGGGTAGATAAACGTTTAAGGTTTAGATTCAGTTTCTGACTCGTTTTTCCTCATCAGCCATCTTCAAGATTGTTTTTCTAAAGCAACTTGAACTTTTGTCAAACCATTTAGATTAAAAAAACAGTCAAACATAAATAAATCATCACATCAATCTATTTAAGGTGTGACAGCTCTAAATTTAAATGTTCAGTTTACTGATGCTTCATGGCTATTAGTATACCTGAATTATTCTAAGCCCTTCATATAGTTTCATATAAATCTTAGCATTTTAGGGTAAAAATGGGTCCGTTTTTTCAAAATGAACTATAATGTCTGTACGATCACAGATATATATTTTCACTCAGTAGCAAACATTAGACTAATTACCACCCAACTATCGCAGAACTGGCACTTTTGTAGCTAAATACTGACATCATGTTCTACAGTTTTCCAAGATTAGGCAAACTAAATATTTATGCAGCCACTTTTTCCTTCCTCAGATACAAGATGATCTCAGAGTTTACATGGCCTAACCATGACCTGCCATCAGACAAAGAGGCTGTAAAGAAACTCCTACAGGGCTGCAGGTTTGATCACGATGTGGCGTACGGCAAAACAAAAGTCTTCATTCGAACACCGCGTACGCTTTTCAGCTTGGAGGAGCAGCGAGCAGAGATGGTCCAGAGAATCATCCTCTTCCTGCAAAAGGTAAAAATGAGAACATGTCAAGTTATTTCATGAAGTTTAATGCAAATGTGAATGCTAGAACCTCGATTAAACTTAAACATATATACAGAGAAAAAACTCTTATTCCAATTCTTTACACTTTCCCAGATTTTTTTTCTTGTATTTAAACTAATTAATTCAGATGATAATTGTAAACTCCCGACCCGTCATTATAAAAGTGTCTGGCTGGCAGTGGTCAACAGCTGTCACCTGATTACAACCTTGAAACGAGATTATCAGCTTCCTCTGGTTTCAGAGTCATGCTCGCATTGGAATTCATCAGCCGTTGTTCTGCATCAGAATAACCTTTGAGACAAGAAAAGCCCTGAGTCTGCACAAAATTATCCAAGCACAGAGGCACTTAAAGAGCTGATATCATCTTGTATTAGTGGTGTTATTCCTTGTCTCTGAGGGCAAGTGCCTCCCTGCCTGTTTTAGCCCACACAGCTCCTCTAACTTTATGCTACAATTAGAATTAGACTTTTAAATGTCTCTCATTTAGCCACAGAAAACAGAATAGTGCAATAAAGGTGTTTAAGTAAGCTAAAAATGTGACTTTTAAATTGGAGAGACATATGTAACTGAATTAGTCTAAGGAGCTTTGAAAGAAAAGCATCTGGACTTTTTTGAGTTGCTTAAAGACGTTTCACCTCTCATCCGAGAGGCTTCTTCAGTTCTAAGGTCAAATGGTGGAGAGTCCCAGATTCAAACCCAGTGGGAGTTTCCCCCCAAAGAGGGAAAAAAAGACCCCCTGATGATCTTCTACCAAGGTGTTTCGCGATGTTGTAGGTAACACCTTGGTAGAAGATCATCAGGGGGTCTTTTGTTCCCTCTTCGGGGGGAAACTCCCACTGGGTTTGAATCTGGGACTCTCCACCATTTGACCTTAAAACTGAAGAAGCCTCTCGGATGAGAGGTGAAACGTCTTCAAGCAACTCAAAGAAGTCCAGACGCTTTTCTTTCAAAGCTCCTTAGACTACAATGACCTGGATGACTGAGAACCTTCACAGACATGTAACTGAGTTAGATTTACAGTTTCTGAGTTTCACGTGCAGACTGAATGTGAAAAGTCTTCACCATTATTCCCTGCATTAGCTTTAAAATAAAAAAAAGATGTGGAAACACTTGGATCAGAACAAGCCACTCAGATCTACGTCACACTGAAACGTAGCATTCATGGACGCACCCATCTTTGCTCACGATCGCGGTAGGCTGTTGTTGATTTAACAACCAGGAGAGATCGGAGCGCGTTTTGGCTAGTAGAAGCTAACCGTTAGCATTAGCAACTCCACAACATGGCAGAACTCCTTCAGGCTTGTGTTATTCCTGGAGATAAAACATCAATGTTGTATATTTTTACCCATGATTGAAAGGCAAATAGAGGCAGTGAACGAGTTGTTAACCATTTTCTGCCCCCACTCCTTGTGCTAACTTTCTGAAACCGGAATGCCAGAGCTCTTTTTTCCCTCAGAAAACAACTCACAAGGCATTCATTCATACTAGAGACCTCAGAAGATTTTTTTAAATAAACAATTTTATAATTGATTAAATATTTTTTTTCAAGCTAATATTAATTTATTTTCAGTTCATTCGACCTTCATAAGGAAAACAATAAATGGTAAATGTAGATGGGTTTTTATAATAGTCACATTAAAATGAACTACGTGTTGGTATTTTCACAGCATTAACCTGTTCAGAAAAAATTCCTTACTCTCAAATTAAAAAAGATTTTTAATATATCTAACAGTCTGCTGAACATGTTTTAAACGATCTGCTGTGAATATTGACTGCTGTAGGTGTCACTGAATTGTTAGTCTGCTCATGCATCACTGATTTAATAACACCTCCTTGAGGCGAGAAGATGCTGGTGTGATTATTCTGCCTTTGCTGACAGGCACCATTTCAGTTTTCAGGCTAAGAGGGAAATAGATGCAGGGATTGGGTTCGGAAATGTGGATTGAGATTCTGTCTGGTTTCAAATTCAGGCCCAACTGACCGAGTGCTTTAAAAAATGCCATTTCTGACTGACAGCTGTGCAGAAACGGCACCAGGTTGTCAACTGTGTGTGTGTGTTTGTGTGTCTGTGTGTGTGTGTGTGTGTGTGTGTGTGTGTGCGCGCACGCACATGTGTGTGTGTGTGTAAATCATCTGAAGAACCGTGTTCAACACCTGGGAGCCTGACATTCAGATATCCCCCAACGTGTTGGCGGATTCCTCCACACTGAGCAGCTTTCATGTATGCCTCTCTAAAGCAAAGCCCTGGCATGAAAGGCTTGTCCAAGGTGAACTATTTCTGTGGCAGAATGATTGGTGGACCTTTGTATTGATCCGTATGACCCTATGGGTGCTCCTTCCACCTCTCTCTCAGGAGAAATCCCATCTTGTATCTCGGTTGTAAGCCAGCTTTGATAACAGAAGGAAAACCCAGAGGAGCTGCAGCTTTTCCACCAAACAGACATCACAGCAGGTCTGAGGCAACAGATGAGTTAAAGCCAAGGATCCATGTTTACTCGTATATTCTCACCAAATCAAACCAGAGTGTGACAGCAGAAGTGACTCCTGTATCCACGGTGCTGTGATCCCAGCCTGAGTCTGAGCCACTGTGCCAAACAGTTGTCTTATCAGCACCTGGCACACCATCCCCCTCTATGCCAAGTCTGCCGGGTATGATTGAGGCTCAGACACACTCCCTGCCTCTCCATTTGCCTCACAGATGTATAATAATAACCCCCAGTTTGCCCCATCAAACAACACAATCTGTGACTCTGCATACACTTTGAGTGGCAGCTCATCGTGAAGTTGCCTGGCTGAATTGTGAGAACATGATGTTTCTCTGCTGCTCTCCTCTCGTTTTATCCCTTTAAATTACTATACAGGTGCTGGCCAGTAAATTAGAATATCATCAAAAGGTTGAAAATATTTCAGTAATTCCATTCAAAACGTGAAACTTGTACATTATATTCATGCAATGCACACAGACCAATGTATTTCCAATGTTCATTACATTTAAATTTGATATTCATAAGTGACAACTAATGAAAACTCCAAATTTGGTATCTCAAAAAATTAGAATATTCTGAAAAGGCTGAATATAGAAGACACCTGCTGCCACTCTATAATCAGCTGATTTACTCAAAACACCTGCAAAGGCCTTTAAAAGGTCCCTCAGTCTTGTTTTGAAGGCACCACAATCATGGGGAAGACTTCTGACTTAACAGCTGTCCAAAAGACAATCATTGACACCTTGCACAAGGAGGGCAAGACACAAAAGGTGATTGCTAAAGAAGCTGGCTGTTCGCAGAGCTCTGTGTCCAAGCACATTAACAGACAGGCGAAGGGACGGAAAAAATGTGGTAGAAAAAAGTGTACAAGCTCTAGGGATAACCGCACCCTGCAGAGAATTGTGACGACAAACCCATTCAAAAATGTGGGGGAGATCCACAAAGAGTGGACTGCAGCTGGAGTCAGCGCTTCAAGAACCACCACGAGGAGACTCATGAAAGACATGGGATTCAGGTGTCGCATTCCGTGTGTCAAGCCACTCTTGAACAAGAAACAGCGCAAGAAGCGTCTCGCCTGGGCCAAGGACAAAAAGGACTGGACTGATGCTGAGTGGTCCAAAGTTATGTTTTCTGATGAAAGCAAGTTCTGCATTTCCTTTGGAAATCAAGGACCCAGAGTCTGGAGGAAGAGCGGAGAAGCACAGAATCCACGTTGCATGAGGTCCAGTGTAAAGTTTCCACCGTCAGTGATGGTGTGGGGTGCCATGTCATCTGCCGGTGTTGGCCCACTCTGTTTCCTGAGGTCCAGGGTCAATGCAGCCGTCTACCAGGAAGTTTTAGAGCACTTCATGCTTCCTGCTGCTGACCAACTTTATGGGGATGCAGACTTCACCTTTCAACAGGACTTGGCACCTGCACACAGTGCCAAAACCACCAGCACCTGGTTCAAGGACCATGGTATCCCTGTCCTTGATTGGCCAGCAAACTCGCCTGACCTTAACCCCATAGAAAATCTATGGGGTATTGTGAAGCGGAGGATGCAATACGCTAGACCCAACAATGCAGAGGAGCTGAAGACGACTATCAGAGCAACCTGGGCTCTCATAACACCTGAGCAGTGCCACAGACTGATCGAGTCCATGCCACGCCGCATTACTGCAGTTATTGAGGCAAAAGGAGCCCCGACTAAGTATTGAGTGCTATACATGCACATTCTTTTCATGTTCATTCTTTTCAGTTGGCCAACATTAGAGAAACAAACATTTTTTCATTGGCCTTTAGAATATTCTAATTTTCTGAGATACCAGATTTGATGTTTTCATTGGTTGTCACCTATAAATATCAAATTTAAATGTAATGAACATTGGAAATACATTGGTCTGTGTGCATTGCATGAATATAATGTACAAGTTTCACGTTTTGAATGGAATTACTGAAATATTTTCAACCTTTTGATGATATTCTAATTTACTGGCCAGCACCTGTAATGTCTCTTCATTTGATGTGGGGGTTTAGTTGGAGTTAAGGAGGGGGAGGAGCACCTCCATGACTATTTAATCCTCCGTTCATCAGTCCTTCTCTCATCCTAAAACACTTACCTCATCTTTCTACTCTTGTGCTCCGGACACATCTACAGGAAATTCTTGGTGTGTTACAGCTGATTGCTCTACATATGTGCAATCCTACTTTGACATCACAGAAAACAGCACCAAACCATCCAATCATTGCAGCTTTAAGAATTATAGGAAAAGAATCCAGCAGCTCAGCATAAATACAGACGATATAAATAATACATAAACTTCCCCCACCTTCTCTGTGTGTTACAAATGAATATTTCATAAATCCAAGCTCAGCCATCCACATCACAGTACCTGTCAGCGTTTGTCGGAGTGGGAATGTGATGAGAGGACACACCCCCCCCCCCCCCACCCCCCCCCCCCCGAGTATTCTGAGACACAGTCATATTTGCTTTCCAAAGCC